CACAAAGTGCATGTCAACTTTTTATGAAAATAAGTTCTCTCCCAGAGAAACATTTTGCCATCTAATCATCTCAAATATCCATCTAAATACAATAAATATAACTTTTTAGCACGCGGAACAACCTGTGGAGCTGGAAGCTGAGAACTGGCCACTTTGTAGTACGCGGAGGAGTCATCTCTCGCTGCTGAGTCAGCTCTCGCTGCTGTGAGTCATCTCTCGCGACTGAGTCATCTCTCGCTGCTCAATTATCTCTCGCTGCTGAGTCAGCTCTCGCTATAATAGCCATCTCTCGCTGCTGAGTCATCTCTCGCGGCGTGCAGGTTTGGCACAGTTCATACTGATAGTATTTGGTTGCATTTATGCAGGACAGGACATTCAACTGCTGGTGAATACACCACTCATCATACACCACTCAGCATACACCACTCATCATACACCACTCGTCATACACCACTCATCATACACCACTCGTCATACACCCCTCTTGTCGTGGCAAAGATACAACCCAGTACGCTGTTGTGAGCTGCTGATCCTGCAGGGGGCACACACCTTACACACGTGGAATCCCGTGGGTCAAAAGTCCGGAGCGCGTGCGTTTGACTGGAGGACGCGCATGTTGGAGAGAACGTGGACACTCATGGTAAAACCTGCCATACATGGCTTCTGAAACCATTCAAGAGCCTGACATGCAACCAGAACCTGTGGTCTTTTCTCAGGAGTTCGGATTGATCCTGAACACTGAGCATGTGTGACCTATGGCCTATGGCATACTTATAGAGGGCCCCTTGCTCCTTGTATAGAAGCTATCTTCATCAACTTACTAGCGGTTTGCGCGGTGTGCGATGGTGCCGAAGAGTTTGTTGGACGAAAAGGTCTCGCATTAGAGAGCCCTGCGAGCTTAAGAATTTGCAAGATGATGAAACGATCCAAGCTAGTAGAGGGGGGTTATTGTTTCAGAGTTGAACGCTGAAAGCGTTGACATGTGAAACTGTGTGAACCTGGAAATATTGACTGGACACATGATGAGTCGGTTCAATTCATTGAATCTACCTGTTTTCATTGGTTCTTGCAAAAGAAAGGGTCCAACCCAACTGTGATTGTAGGATGTATAGTCCAGATAAGTTCAGGACCATCCAGCGGGTGTCCAAGTAGTGTCGCCCACAAGTAGTCTATTGGTCTCCACGAGCGTCCCTTGGATGGTTCAGGGTTGTATAGAGTTTTTTTGATATATTGTTCCAAACTTTGGAGTTCCAACTATGCGATACCTCCTGACAAGACATGTTTCTTCAAAACATTGTCCCAAGCAGAGAGATACTTGTGAAGTCAAATTGTTGATTCTTTTTGACCTATCTATTCAGTCTAATGGTGACACAGCCATAGCAGTTCTTTGTTTTCAAAATGATTGCAGGATTTAACACTTGCATCGGGATCAGGGGATACCTGAAGCTAAAAATGGAGACGTTTCCCGCTAAAGCGTTCAGCAAGAAAAGAACAACATGGTTCATGGTTGTGTTTGTTCGATGTGGGGTGGCTCCTTCTGTTTATTTGGCTGAAGAACTGACACTTCGATTAACACCCTTCCAAAAGCTTGTTTTTGAGACATGAGTTTTTGCAAGATGCTGCACGTGATGTTCACAGCCAGATCGCCAGGTGCGTTCTTGGATGAAGAAAGAAGAGAAGTCTGGGCTCATGAGGCGGTGGCTTCTAGCACAAAACGCTTGCTTCCTTTGGTAGTCCAGAGTGCCTGACGATCATCAAAGGCTGACGACAGGTGGGTTGAGGGAGGCAAAGGGCCGAAGTGAGCATCATCTACCAATGTGGCTGTGGGTCCAAACCTGGAGCCCGACCCGTACGATATATAACTTGACCTGCCAGGTAGGTCAACCAAGAAATCTCAGGTTTGACCCACAGCCACATATTTTTGGGATCCAGGACTGAGTGTGAGCTTGTGGTCACATCTATACCTTCTCATCGCAGAGGGCTTCTCCTCTCGCACCGATGTCCGATCCGAGGATGAAGTGCCGAGCCGTGAGCGACGGTGCCATAGGCGCGCCCGCCACACCGCGCGAGTGTCGGCGCTGTGGCGGGTCGAGTCGGCGGGTCGCCGGTTCGGAGTCTTCGGTTCGGAGTGGGAGGCGTCAGTGAGGACGGATGTGGTCGGTTCGTTGTTGAGAAGCGGTATGGTGTTCGTTGTTGAGGACCGTCTTTCGATGGTCTTGGAGGGTCTTAGTATGTCTAGACGGTCCTTATTGTTTTATTGTTCAAGACGTACGGTGTTGGAGTGTCCTGAAGCCGACCTGTTTCAGATGCCAACCATTTTCAGGCGAATGGGGCCATGGATGATCTTTCCACGAAGCAACAGTACCTTCCAAGGCTTGGTTTAGTCAATGTCATGTTGCCGGTTGTCCTTCTCAGGCAGGGACGGTCATGGTGTCACAACTCCTTGTTTCCACAGGGACGAATGTGTCATACTTCTGAAATCTTCTGAAGTCAGTTTGACGAATGATAGACACCTTTAGAAACCAAGCAAAGAGCTAGAAAGAGAAACTGCTGGTGAATGGCGGGTCTGGCGCATTCACCAATAGAAAACTGTGGCGAAATGCCCCACACCTTGGCAGAAGCGGCGAGCGAAACGCCTGCACACCGTCTGCCTCATCTTGGCTCCAGCTCCACGGGGTTTGGAGGGGCCACATGAGGCCACGAGGGCAGGGGCACAACGATTGCGAATCCCATAATAAATGACCGACTAAATAATATGTGATTTCTCATGCCCAGACAAGTCAGACTCATCAGGTGTGCCTATAAACACATCTTTCATTGTTTGACGTTCTCTTCTTCACACGTTCACCGTCTGAGTCGCGTCGACTGAGTCGACGCGGTGGAGACGGAGCGTGTCGTCGTCCATGCTCCGAACACTCGTGGCACTGCTGGCGAGCGGCGCTTGGAGTTACAAGCTGTCGCTCGTTCCCAATGAAGTCTCCAGGCACCTTGACCCGACCCGCGGCCGGGTGCAGGGTGTTCGAAGCCGGGACGCCGAACTGGGAGTTTCCAAATGGGGCGAGACACGACCTGTTTGGGACTGGCGAAAGGGATCAATGCCAGTCTGTTTGGGTCTTTTTTGGCCGGGTGCGAGGCCATCCACAAAGGCTTCAGAAATTGGACTTTGGGCAGAAGCAAATCTGTTGGGCCTCAAAGCATGCATGCAGACCCCGTGATATGGGGATGGGTCATGACACCTGGAGCTCGACCTGTCCACCATTTATGACCTCCTAGGTAGGTCAACCCGGTCGGTATCCTGGTGCCAGTTCCCCACTGCCATACAGTAATATACAGTAATGCATGTTGGGGATCCAGGACTTTGTTGATTCGGATGCTTTTGGACTCTAATGGACTCAGGTGCTGTGCATGCTGACCTCCAAAGTTCTAAGAGTTCGTGACCCGAATCGAAAGGTCGGGGGCGGCTTGGTGGTGGAAGATGTGATTCGAGAAGGGCACAGAGGATTCTTGATGACCCCGAGACAAACACATTGAATCAACAGTCAAACATATATACTGTATATGTACATACCTTGAGATGTTAATAGATGTGAAGTCCACAAACAGAAACAAAAACAACACCTCACTCAATCTCATTCAGTGCTTTTTGCCGTCCATTCGATCGAGTGCTTGTTTTGGCCTGGGAAGGATCTACAATAAAAAGGTTACTTTTTGTGTTGGGAGAAATTGTTTGGGAGAAAACATGGAGGAACCCACCCTTTTTGTCCACCCCTGTGTTCTTTTTTGGAAGCGTCATGACGATCTCTTGCCTGAAGGCAGGCGTTATCATCAGCCGGAGTTCTGCAGGCCGGAGTTCAGCATGTCATCACGGAATGCTGTGATCTATGCAATGGGTCGAGGGTTGCAGAAGGTTGTTTTGGCCCAGCCACACATAACCACTCTTGCTGCATTGTGCTGAGCTTTTGAAATCTCAGCACAAGATTATGGTTGTTGCGTGCGTATTCACGTGTATTAACTTCGAACCTTTGTCCTCCTTGTAGGAAGACTGCAAAGCAACATGCCTTTGTCATCACTTCAAGGCCCGCTAAACATAATATCTAAGGATGTGTTTTTCGGTCCTGGACCAGTTTGTCATGCCACTCCTTTTGTCAATCAGTTGTAGCTTCAAACCAGTACTCAGACTGACTCAATCTATGAAATATAATCCTTCATAATCCTTTATAGTCTACATGGACCCCTGAAAGCCACAATGTCATAGATGGAGTGTTTGGGGTAAGAACATGTGTGTGTTTTTTCCTTCGCTTTCTAACCGGCTCGTGCTCCAGGAGGTGTCCTTTCTCGAAGGACGGGAGTCACCTCCTTCGGACAACGCCTGGACGTGACGTGGAGGTTCAAGTATTTCCTCCTGCGATGATTTCAACATGGAGGGGGTAAACATATGACCATGCATAAACCAATTACTGTAAGTTAAAACGATCTCAACTGAGTGAGGACCGTGCGTTTGGGCAAGGGCAGCAGTCTTGATCTTGTGTGGAGAGCCTGCAAGAGACACGACAATTGAAAGAATGGGGGTCCGAACATTTCAGGTTTGCATTGAATCATTTTGACACCACAAATGCAGCAGATGGGTGCGCCGTTCAGCAGAAGAACGACACGGGGTGTGGCAAACGTGTCGCTGTGAAGCTTGGGATCTCGAGAGATGCAATAAAGATCAATAAAGCAGTGCGAAGCAGTGCAAAGACCTTATAGGATCCTATACCAGCAGTTCCAAAGGAATGGTTGTTAGATGCTTTTAGCCCCCAAGTGAGTGGATGTTCTGGGCACCCTTATCCTCGAATAGGCACCCCTTTGTAACTGCTGGTAGGAATCAATGTTCGCTCGGAGTTGTTTTGCCTTTGCTACACTGCTATCGCACCTCTACATAAAAGGATCGTTTTGGGACACACCCAAGCCATCCAAGTTCGCCCGATTGGCCCGGAAACCAAGGAAACTGCTCCGAGATCTCGGGCTCCCTGTGGTTCCAAAGGATTCCAAAGAAAAGGAACACGAAAACAGAAGCCCTGCATTCCTTACGGAGCCACTCGATGCCCCCTACGACCTGGCCCTGAAGTAGGAGATGAAGCAACACCGTCGTCGACGCTGAGACCCACTATGGCCCCTGGCGTCGTTTCGAACTTACAGAGCATTCTAGAGCCTTGGACCTCTTGGACCTCTTGGACCTAAACTCTTCCGTGACGCGGTCTTTGCCGATGGAATTGGGTCCGCTGGAACGAGTTCCTTCGGACCTGAAAGGAAGAAACACGAGTTCGTTCGGTCCATAGTTCAAGTTTTCACTGGGGTGGAAGCACGTCTCCCGGGTGACCCGGTTCTTCCACGCGTTCCCGCCGCGGTTGGACGTTGGGCTCGTTGGGATCGTTTTCACCCCCCAATAGTGACCGAGTGCTCGAGTTCTCGAGGCTCGAGGAGTTGAGAGTTCCCTCTGCACGAAAATTCAGGCTTTGGAATCAAATGTTTTAAGCAAAATTGAGAACTTCAAACATCTTCAAACCATGCATGGTGCATGCGGCGCATGGCATGAATCTATATGAATCCTTTGAACATCCTTTTTGAACCTCCCCCCAAAAAAGAAGGAAGACGATGGACTCGCCGACGCGTCGTCCGACGGGGCTCGGGATTGGAGGGGGCCGATTCGACTGGAGAGGCTGGGAGAACGAGGTTGGGAGGGGAGGGGACCCACCCGGCCCAAAACTGGAACGAGTCACCACCGTACCCCGCACACCCGCCCACCCGGGTGAACGGAGCAGAGCAGCCGGGTGGTGCCTGAAGTCGGCGGATCGCTGGCCTTCTTGAGGAGAAGGTGGATGACCTTGAACATCAGAGCTGGTTTCGGGGCGTCCCACCAAATCCAGAAGCTTCACCTGTTCCCAAAATCCATCGGCTCGGTGTCCTCCTCCGTTGCTCGCGCCGTCTCGCTCCCCCCAGGAGAGGCTCTCTCAGGCCGTGGAGGCTATCAGCGGACCGGCCGTGAAGGTGGGCGGACCCGGAGGAAGACCGGGTCCGACGAGCGTAGCGCGCTACTACCGCGTGGTGCGGTGCGGGGTGAGCAGCGCTTCATGAAAGGTCCATGTGAAGTATGACTAGAAGCGCGTCTGACCCAATGAGGAAAACAATAAACACGAAACACACAATTCATATCACAATGAATCGTTTGTGACTGACCCAAACTTTTGGCCTAATTAAGCAGTTTTAAGAGCATCCCACACAGCAATACGATTTTGCCGAGTTAGTTTCTATAGGAACGACACCCTGGAACCGTACGACTCCCTTCAACCATGGTTTACGTAGGCAGAAGGCACGTTCATGTTAGTAGCACCACCAACAGCAACAGCACCAATTTTGAGTCATTTCCAGTCTATTGCGTCAAAAAGATGGCTTGGTTGGGAAGCACAAGTAGCAAACACAAGACGCAGACAACATGGAATAGCGTAGATTTGAGATTGATACTAGTAGGGTAGATCAACCTGCGGTTCTGATGCTTGCTCCAGTGATTTTGACCAATTTGGGCCTCACGTGCGGTGGTTGGGTTTGATTCTCTTTCGATCCTTGGAAAACGACATGTCAGACATGGTTTCTGAGAAGTTCACCAGTCCCCCCCCGAACATCACGGCGCAGTGTCAGAACATCACCTCGCTCCGGGTGAAACGCCGGGCTCCCGCGCCAGGACCCGGCTCCGTGGTCCATTCCCCGACGGTCCCCCGAGAAGAGCGGGACGCGTTTCCGGGGACGCGAAAGGATGCACGTCAGTGAGCAAACAGAGGTTTTTCACATCCATGGATCAAATCCTTTTCGGAAACCCAGGGCGGGGTGGTTTGCTATCGAATCGGCTCAAGGACATACTGACATGAACAGCCTAAATGTCAGACTTCTGACACGTGGAAGTTCCTTGATGACTTTTTGTTTGCCCTTTCAATGGCTGCTCACAGATCAGCTGACAGCCTTCCGATACAATTGTACATGTTTTTGAATCCCGTTTGACATTTCCTCTATGGACTATTTTATATAGTAACAATTTCTCTCTATAGAATAGAGCCACTCAGGGTTCCAGATTCTAAGAAAAGCACCCTTTCAGCTACATGTTTCCGTGAGGTTGCAACATCCTGGGAGGTCAGATTTATAGAGAGGTGTGAGGAAGGTATAGCTTTCTGTGAGTTTTTGCATGGTCACATGGGGGTTGTGAATTTATAGTAAGGTTGCTGTTGTCGTGTAGGTTTGTTACGTTAGCCTCTGGGTTCAATGAATAATGTTGATGGTGTTGCTTTTTGATGATCCTCACGATTTTTTATTGTTCAGTTCATTTTGGTACATCAAGTTTGCAAGTTGTCGGATGTTGTTGGAAATTTTATCGGAAACAACTATCTTGTTTCACATTGTTTTAAAATGGTTCAATAGGATCGCTTGATTTTCTGATATATTTTGCTGTTGGGTTTGTCTCGGAGATGGGGTTGTGATCTTTAAGTTATCGGATTTTTCTCCGATTATATAATTCTCGTTAGGTTTCCATTCCGACTAAGGGGGTTAGATTAAATGTTATAGTGATGTCGTTTTGCCAGGACTCAGATTCTATAAGGATTTATGTGTCCCGAAGCTGGGGGAGCCAAAAGTCCTTGGCCGAGAAAAACCGTTTGCATGACTCGAAACCAGCATGAAACCTCCAAGTCAAATTGGGGTTGTCAAGATGTATCAAGGCCGAAGTTGAAAGAATTACCAAAGTTCACCAGGTGCGGAGCAAATGACTCGAATAGACTCGACAGGTCAACATGCGCTTCTATGCAGCATGTTCATTCTGATCAGAGCAGATAGGCCGTACGAATCCATGGACAGGAACATGTTCCCCTTCAATACAGCAGGAACGAACCTGTTGAGGTATTTGGCAACTTCTCTTGGGGAAATGGGCCTGTTGTCAGGTAATGGAAAGAATAGAACCGCGGCATCGCGTGTGTATATTGGAACACCATGCCCTGGTTTTCTCCAAGGTTGCTCTTCAACCACAAGGTCAACCTCTTGAAAGCAGCTGACTCCAGCCTGGACAAGGAGAGCAAACTCCTGCGCGAGAATGTGCGTCACACAGTGCCTCGTTTGGCACGATGTCACTGGAGTGAGGCTTGATGGAAGTCCGGCTCCTGCCTCAGTGGCAACAGGACCCAAACCTATCTATGGTGTTGCCCTCCCCAACATGTCTGTTTGGAACACCCCAAATGATACTGTAGCTCGTCGCCCTTTGCTTTTGAGCCCGAGAGGCTGTGGCAAAGCACGTTTCTAGCACCTGTGATGTTGCGTTGGATCATCTGACATATATATGTAAAAATGTTACAAAGTTCCTTAACTTAGGCCCGTTGGAACTGGGGGAGGCCAATGAGTTAAGGCAAGGAGACTGGATACTTCCACCCTCACGGTTCCAACTGCCTAGAGTCCTGAAGAGCTTCAGACAGGGCATTGAAGAAACGGCGTGCCTCTTGGCACTTGTTGATATAGGTTGGCTAACTTGCTTGGACGTGTTGCGGTTTGTGAGATCAGCTGCTTCACACACTGTACTGTGGGTAACCCATGTCCATGTACTGTATGCATAACTCCTGATTTTGGGGGCCATTCAGATCATTCAGATCATATCTCAACCACCATATAGTGTTCTTGAATGTGTCGCTGCCCACATAAACCTCCTTAAGTTGTGTTTTATCTTGTTGGTTCCCACCGCATCCGGCGTGTGCTGACCGCACTGGCGGTATATGGCGCATCGCTAAACCCTACTGCAGGTGAAGTTGTTCCCGGATGTGGCACCGTCCGACGTGCATTTCTGGGACGACCACGAGTGCCAAAGCGGGATTGAACAATTGCCACTGGAGGATGGCGAGCGAAGCTGCTCAACGTTGTGGGGGGGTTCTGAGTGTTAGGCCAGTGTTATAGGTGAATGTGGATATGTCGTTTGGAGCATTTGTTGGTACTGGACTTTGTTGCAAGATTGATCAAGATTGCATCTACCTTACCTCCAACAAACATGGCAGTGGACAACCACCAGTGGGAAAATCACTGAGCAAGTCACTTTCTACTTCTATGTTTCTCGGGGTAAGGACCCCTTACGTTTTTTCTGAAAGGAGCCCCCTTTTTTAGGAAGGGTTTTGATTGAAGGAACTCAAAGGTGCCCAACTCATGTCAACGCATTTGGCATATGTTCCAACAGAGGTGGAACGTGACCTGAACGTTCGGACCTGGAAAACCTGGGGTACCGAACTGGGATAGTCTAGTTCGGGTCATTCAACCTCTGTTGGTTTTGATGGGTTCCTCGATGTGGCTATATAGGTCCTTTTGGTGAGGCCCACCCAGATCCATCGGCGAGACAGATTCATGTCAAAGACCCTCCTGCAAACGATCCCATGGAACCTGAGAATTCACCCGTAGGACCATGTTTCCTTTACAACTTACAACTTAGTGATTTTTGAGGGCTGAATGTTCATTTGCAGCGGAGTTTTATTCATGCATCGCCCTTCATGATCACCAACAGATCGTTCCTTGGAAAACCATGGTGGGTGCGTCAATCGTCTTCAGAGCATGATGCATGATGTTGCGCAGTCAATCCTACAATTGTAGGATCCATCCCTCAGGATGGGATCAATCCTTGAGGAGAATCACAGTCACTCTCTTGTGGGCGAAGAAATGGGAGAAGTACGCAAGAGGTCTTGGCAGTTGGGGTGTCAAGCTAGGGATTCCCCAAAACAATGATCCAACACCTTCTGGGTCACCCTCTTATTCAATGGATTCCAGGACCTGATCATGTTCATGTTTCTCTTGTCATGTTGCCCGTCATCATGGATGTCCTCCCACACCCTTTGGCAAGCAACGAAGCGTTTCTTTTTCTTTCATTATCTTCTTCACATCGTGCTTTTCCATGGTGATGTCCTGTTTCAAAGCAAACCTCAACACCCACACCTTCCACCCGGCGCTCCAGGAGAGTGAAGCTTTGGGGCTGGACTTCGCCCGGGAGAAGGTGGGAGAGACTCCCTTCTTCGCCCATCCCACATCCACCACAGTCTGTCCTATACTCACCTATGGCCAAAAAAACTACAGGCTTCCCTTAGGACCCTATAGCCCTGTACTCACCTATCTACCACAGACCAGGGTCCTAGCTCTGGTCTCTCAACCTGATAAGGGATCGATTGTTGAGGCCATTCACATCCCAATTGCTCGTTGGAGTGTAACGGATGCCATTCCAAAGACATTCCACCTCAAAGACATGCTCATTTATGTGCGTATGTATTCCGGTTGCTACTCTGGTGTTGTTGATTGTTCCACAGCTGAAAAGGTTCGCCACCACGGGCGCACGGATAGGTGGGTAAGTTTGTTGTTTGGATGCCTGGCTTAGTTATAACAGTAGTCGGGGAGCATTCATGAAAGCCAGCAAAATGTCCGACATGTTCATGGAATTGTTGATCTATCCCCCTTATTTTCGCTACAAGCAATTCAGTTCTGGACTGACAGCTAAAAAGGAGCAGATTAGTCTTTAAAGACTCATGATGATGGCATGTGGGTGACGGCATCGTTTTGAGGCCAATGTGCTGGCTCGTTTTGTTGATGGATGTTTTTCACGGTGTGAGGATGTGTGAGTATGCAATCCCTCCAAACTAAGAAATAACAGGTTGACAAACTAAGATGTTGACCGCGGCTTTGACGGAAGCTTTCATCACCCCGAGAGAGAAGTCTTTCAGCTCCAGCAAGACTTCGCAACGTTTGCCGATAAGTTCGCTTCTGGATGTCTTTCTTTCGCAGCCTCAAGGGTCAATCCTGTGGCATGAATGTACTGGACCATCAGGACCAACTGATAGGTTCTGGCATGGTGAGGTCTTCGGACAGCTGCTGTTTTCTTCTGTTCCACTGTTCCGCTAAGGGCCACGCGCCAGGTCTGCATGCAACACGAAAGGGCGGGCGACATGTCGTCAGAAAAGGGGGGGATGAGGATCTTGGGCCCCCCACCTTTTTCCGTCGGTTCCCTGGACCTTCAATGAAAGGAGCACCTCAGCACCTCCCTTCCCTTTGCCTTTCGGATGTTCTGACCCACGAGGTGGGAATGATCAAATCGGACTTGTGCCGTCTGGTGATGATGTACAAGCTGGGTGGCTACTACTTCGATACGGATCCTTGGTATCAACGAAATGCTCCCACCTTCCTCCAAAACGAAACTCTCACCGTGCTATTTGGACGTACGCTTCTGCAGATTCACATGAACCCTGAAAAACACTGGGTTGTAGAGGAAAGTCTTGTTCCAGAAGTCCTTTTTCAGGGTCCATGTCAGTTTGCAAGAGGATAGAAAGGAAACCTCGGTGTCAAAGAGCAAAGACACCTATCAGTGTGATGGAACACGCCATTGAGAGTATGAGTGCTCAGAAACAGACGTCGCAGCATCATGTAGAAAATTTGGTGATTGCAACTCCCTTTGAGGCTCCCGCCACTGGAACTGCTGAGGATTGGATCACCCGAAGGCTCCTAAGGTGGATCACTGCGTAGATTGGAGTTCCCCCCTCAAGGTGGATTGAACCATCATTTTTGTTCAGAAATCATACACCAACTCCCTCAGTCGGATCGCGAGATGTCGCGACCCGCTTGCAGTCGGCGTGCCCGCCCAACTGGCGCGTCGGACAACTGGCGAGGACATCCTTCCACTCCCGAACCTCGAGCAGCACCTGGAGCGCCAGGCCACCTTTGCCACGGTCATAGCAGACGATGGCAAGAGCTATTTCCAAGCGTGCAGTGGCAGCAAACTGTTGGACCCAATCCAAACGAGTCTGCCAAGTGAAAACAGAGTCAAAGCCTGTCTATCAACCACCCGATCTGGGTGGTGCTGGTACATATTTAGCTGCTATCGCTGCAAATACTGTCTCCAGCCTCCGGTGCATGGCGATGCTGTTTGTTTCCTCAAAAAGGTGGGAATCCGGAGGGCGTTGCACCATGGCGCGGCACGTTAGTGAGGCCTTTTGGGTTCGGAGGCTTTTGGGTTCGGAGGACCTTTTGCTGCTGTGTGCTCCCACCTATTCTGCATGCCATTTTCGGGTAGTTGATGAGTGAATGCGCTTACCTTACTTTACACTCAGCGCTGCGTGATCCCAGCACAAGCGTGTCTCCTCGCCAGTTCTCTTCGATCCAGTTAGGGAAAACTGAGACCACTTTGACCAGTACTTGACCCAGTTGCTGATCTTTTCAGAACACCTTCGCTTCACCGGCTGAAACACTGGCTGCTTTGGCTTCTGTGGCCACGCAACCCTGTTCGTTGAGGTTCTTGGCTGCGACGCCCAAGCATCCAGTGATCCTAGAGTCTCTGAAGGAGTTCAAGCGTTGGTATGACCAGCTGAATAGGCCTGGCATCAATCAGGACGACGGGCCAAACGGCGCGCGGATAAGCTGCCACGTCATTCCAAAAACGACGACGGATAAGCTTGAAGGATGATGTGCGGCACGTTGGAAGGTCTGGTTCAGGGTGAGGTTCAGAGTGCACCACTTCGGTAATGGGTCAAGGTTAAGAGATGTATGCTGAGTATCCGTTTACCGGTGTCCGTTGGTGCGTTGATGTGAATTTGGAAGGCCCTAGATCATCTCTCAAACTCAAAACATGTTAGTTTTCATTGGCAGAGCCGATGTTTCCGGTGTCTACAAAATGTATATACAACTGACCTCATCAATTATCAATCCCTTCCGGCAGGTGCTAGAGCCTTTCTTGCAGCCTGTTTTGAGCTCCCATGGCTTTCTTATGTTTTCCTATTGCTGATGAGTCAGGTGTTGGGACTGCGGATCAGATTGTCACTCTCCAACTTGATGATTTGCACAGTGATTTCCACATTTCCACTTAGGATCTACAGGATTCTCAGGATCACTTTCAGGATCCAAACTGTCCATTCCGTTGGGTTGCTCGAAAGGTTCGGCCGTTGATGGCGACCTCCAACCATCGGAGGATCGTTTGCGCTCGCGGACGGCGAAGGGAAACATTGGCACTGCGCTGATGAGACAGGCGCCCGTGCTGCATGAGGACGAGGTCGAAAGAGATCTGGGGGGAAAAAGACATGACAGAAGGAAAGAGGTGCGAAAGACAAGGTCACCCGGTGTTCATGTGTTCATTGTCATGGAATCAAAAGATGTAGAATCGACGGTTTTCCAAAGCTATCTAGTGGGATGGAAAGGTGTAATGGATGTGGGCCATTACAGCACCATGTCAGGTCTAATCATTTTTATGCATTTTGATTAGTATTTTTTTCATAGTGAGTCGGTGCCAGGACCAGCATGAAGAACAAAGAGCCAGACTGTAGATGACCGAAGGATGTTCAACCAGCTTCTGAACAGAATCCTCCTGCGTCTCATCAGTCTCGCGTGAATAAACACATGAATACTGGGCATAAACACCATGAATCTGCTCTTCTTCTGAGAATCGACAACATCGCTAGTCCTGTTGCTGGTATCAAGCTTCTACCCAAGAATCAGAGCGCCACAAAACACTCCCAAGATCTCAATATCCAAGAATCATGTCGATCCATAGAGTGACTCCAGAGTAACTCCAGTGACCCTGTTCGATCATATGGCCTGTTCGATCATATGGCCAATCCTGGAAGCGAAGCTCAACTCTCGGGGCTCATCGGGAAGTCACACAGCCTTCTGTTTCTTCGTCGCGACCAGCGCGCGCCGGCGCGGCACGGTCGTGCAAGGCCTTCCGGAAGTGGTCCGATGGGGCCAAGGAGGACTCGGTGGTGAAGCACCCCGCAGGAGCGCGGTTCACGACAATGACCACTGGACTTCGGTTCGTGACAGTGGAATTCGACACATGTTCGTCGAGTCCCGAGCTCATCGGACATGTGTTTGTTTTGGTTGGAGAAGAGATACTTGGCACCGCCAAAACATACCCAAACCCGGGGTTGTGTTCGGGTGAGTCAAGTGTAACTGTGTAACTTGTAGCCACAGGCACAAAAGATAAGATAGCTGACATACCTGAGTTGTCCTTGCTTTTAGGGCAAACATGTTAACTAGCGTATAATAGCATTATTAGATTGGGAAACCGGTGACTTGCAATCATTTGCTGTTAAGAGCAATGATTCTCCACCCCCTCCTTTGCTGTGTATCATTCCAAGCCAGGCCGGGTGCGGAGACCCGGCTTGAACATGTCGAGAACGCACCGGGCACCAGGAACCATTTTTGAGCGGTTGGCCAAACGGTGGGTTCCCGCAGTTGATGGCAGTTGTGAGGTATTTTTATGTATTTTTGCACCTGGTGACAACCCCTGTGTGCTTCTTAGTATCCATTGATATCCTTTGTCTGTGTGTGTGTGTTTCTATTTGTTCGGTGTTTTCTCTTCACTACCTACCGGCTTCGACTCGACTTGAGGACCACCAGAGGTGGTGTGGCGGGGACTACCTGGGCGAATCCGTACCCATGGGTCGCTGGAAGAGGTCGACTGTGAGTAGATGGATGTGTATCTACAGAGGTGGACCTCCCAACCAAGGGGTAGACCGGGTAGACTGGTCTAGTTCTTTCTTCCAGGGGGTCGAACTGGGAGGTCTCCCTATTTTAATACACACCCACATATATAGATGCTTCCCAAGGAGGTCAAGACTACCGCTTCCCACTTAGCGCCGTCCCTTGCACAATTAATCCTGTGACGTGTGGACATCTCTCCAGGACATCTCTCCCAGTTCTTCGTGGAGCACAATGACAGGGTCTTAACTCAGAAGCGCTATGAAGGAGTCCCGTCACATCTGTCGGGCAATCTTTGTACCGTGGCGAAGTGGCCGTGGCGAAGAGGAGGAAGAGAGAGGTGTGTGTGTGTGTGTGTGTTTGAAGCCGCTTAATAAAGCAAAGAGACGCTGGAAAGAATGTGAAGTCATGATCAAATTCAAGAGTTTAAGTTTAAGAGTTTGAGTATGTTTGAGTTCAGCCTGCAGGTGTTCAATCGGAAGTATAGCATGTTACGGAATCGCTTAGATTTGGTTGCATGATGCTGCCTTTTTACTGGGGACAACTCCAAACAGACCCACTTCGTGCACAGCTGAAATCGCTTCGTCCGACGTACCGCGTCCGACGGGTACGTCGCTGAGCCGGCGAGAAACCGCACGAGAAAGCGGGGAGACCCTCGATTGAATAGGGCCTGAAAGAGGTAATAGTAGGGGGAAAGGTTATGGGGGAGATATACTTCAGGCGGAAGAATGTGTGTTTTTTTCTTAGGTCGTAAAGTCTTACATCTATGTGGATCAGCCGTCAAGACTGTCAAGAAGAAAAACTGTTGTCCTAATATGCTAATACAAGTGCTAATATCCCCGTCGACATTTCCTCTATCAAATGGGTGGGCGTACGCCCCGTATACGGGCGATTTTTTGTAGAGAACCTATGTGGGCACTAAAGTAGTTTGTAAAAATCACTATGGTTAAGGAGTTGCAATGCAGTTGAGAGAACATACGCATTTTGTAGAGCCTGAGTGTCTTGACCCCCGCCCTTTCTATAGACTCAAATTCCATGCCTGCAGATTAAATGTTTTGCACAAGGTCTCCTTGGAATGTTCACGGGGATGTGCTAATACATTATTAGCTTGAGAGGTTCATGGCAGAGCTGCCCCCCAGCCTTCTTGCCACAAAACCTCCAGGTAACTACGCTGTGGTCGACCGACGCTCCAAGACGGTGGTCATGTTCTCCCGGATCTATGACAAGCACTCAAAGACGCTGTGTAAGGAAGAGGCACATCCATACGGCAGGGATCTTTAGAAAGGGTGTCCAGTGTGTTCAGCTAGAAAAGGAAAGGTGACCGTCAAGCAAGCTGTGCAAGTGTAACTTACTATGTCAGTGTAGCTTTGAAAAGGGGTGTCAGACTTGTCCCCAACCAGGTTTGAATGCCACCTCTCAAGGAGCGTTTGTTCTCAAAACACTTTTGCATTTGAATGGCAGGCATGAGATTGTTGACTGAATACATCTGAATACTTTCCACCCATCCATTCGTCAAAGCTGCCAGGTGGACTTCATCCACACCATGTGATTCCATAGGACGCAGTCACTGCTGCTGGCAAAAAGGGGCTTGCGGAGGTTCATGACCTTTGCGCACTCTTGGATGATTGCAAGACCGTCCTGATGCCAAGAACTCTGGTGTATCCTTGTGCATCAATTGTAGTCCAGTACAGAACAGCAGCTTCTTGGAGTTTCACAGATCAAGATACATCATGGTACAAGTTGTTGTTTTTTTCAGGAATCTGAATCATGAATCCAAAGCAATCACTAAGGGATCGAAAGGAATCCAATCTGTGCTCAATAAATTCCAGAGGTGCACCAATCTACCAAAGAGGTCACGATGAGCACAACGAAGCGTCGTGGACGCCAGGTTGGGCCACCGTCGTAGGGAATGCTGGCACCGTCTTTCTGGAGGCTGAAACGTGGTCCGGCCAGGGAAACGTGGTCCAATTCATCCACGCTTGGTGGATGGTTTTTCATTTGGGACCCTGAAAACCAGGAGGAAAGAAGGAACATCCTAACCCAACACAGGTGCAGATCCCTCCAAGCGACAAGAACCATGCTCTCCAAGCTGCTTATTTGTCGATGTGCCCTCCCCGAAAGCTCCTTTTGTATCCCCTCACCATGACCTCATGGTCTCTTGTACCTTGGGCGCGTCAGCTGAGAATAGATCAATAGCCTCACTTCCACTTGCAATTCAGATCCACATGGATTGGCATGGCTCTCCATGGCTCTCCATGACCATGCAGGGCATTCTGTGTTGGCTGGGGTGCCTCCTAAAAGCATCGAAGGGCCCAATCAACCAATCAATGGAGCGTCATCGGTTTTAACCATCAGTGGTGTGGAGAACTCCCCAACTTGCTCTCCGAACACCGCTCAACATAAACACAATGATCACACGAGTCCAGACAGGCGTTCTTTGGATGCAGCTTTGTTTTCAGGACGCACATCAGGTGGAAGAGGTTGGGCATCACCTTAGACAGTTCTATTTGTTACATGGGTGGTTAGAGTTTGCCCAGTGGGCAAGAATAAATGAGGTGTCCTTTCATGTTGAGAAGCCCATATGCAGCACGTGGCTGTGCTGTTTCGCTGCTGCACAGGTGAGCTGAGCTGCCCAATGAGTTAACAAAAATAATCCAAATATACTAATGGAAGCAGTGTTCGCATTTAGACTATAATTTTCGGGTCTGGGATGCAGGGAACAGACCATGATTATATGTTTATTGCAGATATATGCATTTAATATTTAGAATAAAATTTATATTTATTATTAATTCTTAAATTTATATTCGATAATTTTGCTTTTGCTAAATAAATTTATCCGTATTGAAAATATTAGGATTATAAAATAGAATAGTTATTTTAGGAATGAATATATATATATTTAATAATAGGAAAGAAAAATGGTAATGGAATAATATATTAGAATAATGATATATTATATTATAATGTTATATAATATATGGAATTGATAGAATAGATTAATTAAGAAATATTAAGGATTATGGATTTTTTATTTTTAGATAAAATATGATATAATTTGTAAATTTTGATTAATTTATAGTATAAATATATTTATGTATGTGTTTTATAATTTTATTGTTATTTTTTAGCTAAATAAGCATTATATTGGGATGGAAGGTTTATAAAATAATTATAATTTTGTGTTAATTTGGCTATGTAATTAATATCGATTATTATTAATGAATTAATTTTCGATTTATTATGATTATTGAAATTCATGAAATTTCCTTAATTTTCGTTGTATAATCTAATACGGGTTTGATTTATGCAGGCCGGAAATGAATGAATGAATATTATTTAATATATATAATTATGATATTGATTTTTTGGAATTATATTAAATAATTTAAATTGAATATTTAATATTATATTATTAATGATATATTTAATATTAATAATTTTGTTTGTTTTTGATTATGCCATAGGTTGGGGTATAATTATTATGTGGTCGAGGGGAATGCCCGGATAACGGGCATTAGATGCTTGGTATATGTATTTCTTGGGAATAGATATATTTGAATTATGAATGTTCTTAGTGATTGAGTATATTATTTTTGACGATTGTTATTTGTTGTGGCTCGTGTTTATGGATTTTTGAAATTTAACATTGGAGATGGCCGATTTGCCGTACCATTAGTGGGGAATTCGCTTTGTTTGATTTGTTTTGATTTATTTTTTGTGATGGATAATTCTCATTTTGAATTTTCGATGCAATGAATTTGAGCCACTAGATGATCGTAAACTATTCGTCATAGATTATTGATCTACGTGCGCAGCTCCTGACGGGCAGCCGAAATTGCCGAATAATGAAATAAAAAATATATTTATGTATATATTAGGGAATGCATGAAATGATTAAAGAATCTAATATTTATATACATTTTTGATGAGGATAAATAAATGGAATTTGTATGATTATTTTGAGGAGGAAATGGTAATGAATTTATTTTTATTTTAGTAATAGAATTGGTTTGATGAAAAATTAATTGTAAATATTGAAATTATCTAAATATTATGATAGAATATTGTAAATTAAATATGACATTTATAAAATAGACATTATTTTGGGATTTAATATATATGATATAAGATTAGGAATATATTTTCTTATTTTAATGTTATTTTTGGTATTGTTCTTGTATCGTAATATTTCTATAATTTTTGATGATATAAAAGATTTGGTAAATTGAAATTTATAATAATACAATTATGAAAATGTTGTATATATCATTAATGATTTCATGATATATTTTCGTAATGTAAATGGTAAGTCGATTAATTATTATTGAAATTCTGGGATTCATAGAACATAATATATAATTATTAAAATATTAATTATATGGCCATATTACAATGCATTTTTCGTAAATATGAAATAGTAGTAGTAGCAGTAGCAGTAGCAGTAGCAGTAGTAGTAGCAGTAGCAATAGCAGTAGCAGTAGCAGTAGTAGCAGTAGTAGTAGTAGTAGTTAGTAGTGGTAGTGGTAGTGGTTGTGTTTGTGTTTGTGGTTGTGTGTTTGTGGTTGCGTTTGTGATTGTGTTTGTGATTGTGTCTTTGTAATTATGTCTTTGTGGTTATGTGTTTGTGATTGTGTGTTTGTGGTTGTATTTGTGTGGTTGTGTGTTTGTGGTTGTGTGTTTGTGGTTGTGTGTTTGTGGTTGTGGTTGCGTTTGTGGTTGCGTTGTGGTTGCGTTTGTGGTTGTCTTTGTGGTTGCGTCTTTGTCGTTGTGGTTGTGTTTGTGGTTCTGTTTGTGTGTTGTGTTTGTGTTTGTGATTGTGTTTGTGATTCTGTGTTTGTGATCATGTCTTTGTGTTTGTGTGTTTGCGGTTGTGTTTGTGGTTGTGTGTTTGTGGTTGCGTTTGTGATAGTGTTTGTGATTCTGTGTTTGTGATTGTGTCTTTGTGGTTGTGTGTTTGTGGTTGTATTTGTGTGGTTTTGTGTTTGTAGTTGCGCTTGTGGTTGCGTTTGTTTGTGGTTGTGTGTTTGTTGTTGTGTTTGTGGTTGTGGGTTTGTGGTTGTGTGGTTGTGATTGTGGATGTGGTTGGGTATTCTGGTTGAAGATAGGTAGGGAATATTTGGATTTAAAGCTTGCGGGTTGAGATCTGAGATGTTCGTTTTGGAATGTTTGATCGGGAATTTTGGAATGCTTGATCGTGGAGGAGGAGGCATACGAGGAGATGGAATTTATATAAACCATATATAATTTTGATTCGAGAGGTGAAGGATGTCTTTTTTGGACTAACAAATATATTAATTGAATTTTTCTATATATATTTATATGTGTATTGATTTGCTAGCGAATATCTTTAATCGTTCGTTTTAATTCGTATGAAAATATGTTTTTTTTGGATAAATATCGGTTATATTTTGGTAAAGTGCGTGGAATTTAAATTTATAAATGAATTTAAATATTCGTATCTTTTAAATTATGGAAAAATTCCAGGATTTGGGGAATATATCTTTTTTAAGGGAAGGAATTGCCTGTTGTAGTATTAAGGAGGGCTTAAGTAGATTCTTTAATTTTGTTTTAGGATTATTTTTTCCGGTTGTAGCGATAATATTCCCGTGGCGATTCGATTTAAATCTTGGAGGCCGGAGGCATTGGAATTGTATTCTTTATTGCGTAAGGTAATTAGCTTCGGCATCTCTCAATTGATATTAATAAGGATCCATTAGATTCATTTCTAGCGATCACCCTTGATATTTTCTCCCTACGATTTCATAAATTATGAAAGGTTTAATATACACAAATTAGATCAACAATGGATGTATCTGCTACATCAATAATATATTGCAGATTCAGATTTAGACGAACCTAATGATCTCTTAATTTTTATGACGCTATATGGGATATTTAGATATATAAATCATCTGCATAATATGATGCAACGGAATTTATAGATTCGTTAAAAGGCTAAATGTTCGAAAAGAATTTGATGCCAAGATGTGCATTAATCGCATATGCCTAGGATCCCAGACTCTAGGTCCCCATCATCCTTCATATATTCGATCAAATATAACCTCCAATTTAAAATCTAAATATATAATATATTATTAATAAAATAAAGATTTTAATATAATACGAATTAATAATCCCATATCCAAAATATATAATTACCTTAAATCTAAAAACATTCGATATTTATTTTATGAATTTATAAATATATTCTAAAAAGAATACATAAATATATTAATCAAATCGAATAAATTCAATAAAAAACAATATATATATTATTTATCATAATTAAATTCAATATAAATTCATATCAAAATTTATTAATATTTACTAAACATATCTTCATACATTTAAAAACTACAACAAAATGAAAATATTCAATATCAAATAAACGATTAAATAAATATATATTAAATATCAATTCCAAAAATACATAATATCTATTAAAATCAATTCAAAACATTACCTATAAAAATATATTTCACAATTAATTCTCTTAGCATATTTCTAAAATTCACAAAAATATTTAACCAATCAATTTATTTCAAAAGATATTTATATTAATATTTTTTATATTATCAATATATATTATAAATATCATATATAAATAATCAATATATTAAATTTATATATATATTTCATTAATTTGAATTAAATCTATTTAATATATATAAAATATAATTTAAATAAATATAGTATCTATATATATTAAATATATTACAAATTCAATTCTTAATATCTATATATAATAAAATATTTAGTAAATAAATAAATGTTATATCCTAATTAATTTCGAAATATATATATATAAACTCATACATATATACAAATATTTCATTAATTCCTTCGCTTGCAATCTAAATCGCTTCAAGCTCGTATTAAGCTACATAACATGATATTATAAATACTTCAAAAAACATCGAAATCCCAATTTCATATAATCAAAAAATCCTTCAACGAATAATATCCGCAAGGAAAAAATATAACCAATAAATCCGACAAATCAGCCGAAAATCGCTTAACCTCGATAAATCGACACCATATTAGCTCAACTTATCATAAAGCACAAACCAGAATTTATATAATATCGAGAAATTAAAAAAATATATGGTGGTTAATCAATATTCTTTCATCCTGGAATGGCCATTCATCGCGAAAAAAAAGATATCTTTCGCGGATCTTTCGCGGCCTCATCGCGAAGCATGGTCCTACAACCATGTCTAGCCAACATGAGCCGGAACATATCATAGTATCACAAAATAGGGAGAGACATCTTGCAACATGACCCTAGTAGATGGTTAAACGTTTCCACAACTACTCAGGGTCACTTACAACATCTGTTCGACAATTGTGCCAAATAGAGTCACGCACAACTCAACCCAATCCTCGTGCCAGCTACCAACACAAGGTGATATAACTTAGGGAACGCTAGGAGGCCTCAAGCTAGGAACCTAGACTTTAGCGATACATTCGCGAAATTTCATTAGTGCTTTCCCCTTGAAGCCGTAATATTTGCAAACATCTGCGCAGCCCGTCAGAGCAGCTGCAGGTCGTTGCCTCACTGTCAGGGCTGTACCTACCCAGATTGCTAGCCTGTGACAATGGGAACAGGAATCGGAGAATCCTTTACGTACTGCCAGGGCTCGGCACTTAAATGTTGAGACTTCAATTCGTTAATCTATAACATATCTATAAATCCTCATTCAAGCTCAAATTTCTGCCAATTCAAGAAAATCTACCTAAACCAAGATTTGTCTTTAAAAAACAACCCACGGGCAAATATTGCAAATTACTTACAAAACACCCAAATTGCAAATTTACAATTTTAAAGCAATATTCGATATTTCAATTCGGACGAAACATAAATTTTTGTAATCTAACGAGAATTTATATAATCGGATAAATTTCGTTTATTTTAATTATATATTATATATTCATCATTCGCAGAATTTAGTATATAATAAGCAAAAATATTTCCAAAATCGGACGTAAAAACCACATTCGAACAAAAATACTACCGAAATATATTCGGATTTTAATTCTAACCTTTCCTAAATATAAATATACTTCCGCCCAGTAACTCTACCGGAACATTACTTTACATTTCTATTCTATTCTTTATTAATTTAATAAAACAGAAAATAATACAATATAACCTTCGATAAATCTTTCGCAAACAAAAAAAAATATAAATATTTTCGCAAACCTCGTCGTAAATGGTTCTAATAACATCTAAAATTTAATAACATCTAAAAGGTTACTTTATATAAAATTCCTTACATAGAATTTTCGATCAATTTCCATATAAATATATTTATACATTCTAATATTTTATATAAATTAATTTAAATATATATAATCCGTATATTATATCTTTATTAACAATAACAATATATTAAATTCATTTTAAATGAATATTATTAAAATCAAGAAATTCAATCTATTCAACAGACCTGATCAATATTTGGATGGAATCATTTATATTCATTGGTCGATATAATCAATAATGTCTCTAAGAAATGTGTTGATTCTTCCTTTTCCCTAGGATGTGGATATATTATAATATATTGAAATATATAAGCAATCAAATTAGTCAAAAAGATTCAAACACCCATGTCATGGATTCAACATACATCCATTCAGATCTGAACAATGAACAATCATTCATCCCCACCTTGCGCGTGGCCAGGCTGAAGATCCACCACCTCCTTGCAGAAAGCTCTCGAGGCTCCAAACACGAGTGCAACACATTGTGGGCATCTTTGGACCTGGCAGCTGTCCACTGGACTGTCTGGCATGTAAGGACCCCCCAAAATACATGTTTCAATGTATTTGCCAAACCGTACAGCTTGGCCGAACAGCGTCTTTATACTCCCCATCAGGGAATTGGGACCAATTCGACAAAGGTATTGTCAAAAATCATAGGTTAATTTCTTCACATCTCCCCACCAAACATTGCTTTTTTGGGGCTGTTCACAAATCCATATTCCTTGAGTGTTCATTCCACAAGTGTCCCTTTTTGCTCGCTGTTGAATAAACTTTCACCAATTGCTTCAAGCCGGTGACCCTATTAGTCTGCCTCTAGTGCGACCTCGGACCCACCCACCCGCCACCAGTCGTGGGCCTCCTCTTGTTCGAAGCCAGGGTCTCCAAATTCAAATCCGGCCATTGGCCTTGAAGAGGCTCGGAAGAGGTGCGTCCGCTCTGGTCATGGAGAGAGTCGAGGCGATCGAACTTTCGTTAAAAAAAAAAAACGACTGGGAGGGGGTGGACGAATTGAAACTCCATGAAGCAAATCAAAGTTTGTACCACTTCCACAGACCACATAGCGGGTCTAAGATGCCTGGACCATCTTCGTGCAAAGCAATCCATGCTCTTAATCCTTGACCACCAACACAATCAGGATGAATCAGGTGTCCCCCGCAAAAAGGACGATGCAAAAGCAACTGCTGCGACCTGGGTGTTTATGACTAGGTAAGTTGACTGGTCTATTTCCCGAACCTTCCAAGGGGTCATTGGGAGGTCTCCCTAGAGCTGAGCGACACACCCGCCCGGACGGCGTCAGTCGGATCGGCTCCCGTCGACGTCGATCCGATGAAGTCGCCCGGTCGACGTCGAATGGGAATGAGATTTGATTTCGGATATGGTTTCAGGATGTTTCAGGATCTTCACCATCCTCATGCTTGGACTGTTTTCGGGATCAGAACCTTCCACACGGTCCGGATGATCCCAATTTTGGGACCCGACCCGTCACGTCCGTCCGGACCCTCCGTTTGGCAAGCTGCAAGGAGGTGATCAAGTCGGAGCATGAAAGATCTCGACCTGGGTTGAACCCCAATGTCAGAGCCAAGACCAAAACTGGCCAAAGCATGATATAGTCCGACAGTTCTCTTTTTCAGTAGGAGGGCTTCCTGTTTTGATCTTGAGGTATCTTGGTCAAGATTTCTTTTGATCCACCGCGACTTCCACCGAGTGTTTCTTTCTTCTGGCCCTATTCTTGAGCTATACCCTGATTGTGAACAGTACAGTCACCAGCAGGGTAAGCTCAGCCAATGCAGCCCTCACTGTGATCTTAGGTGCAACCTCGAAATCCGAAGGCAACCCTCACAATCCACTGAATTGGAAACCAAAGGCGGGCTTTGAGCAAACAACTGTGGTCCAATTCAATCTGATTCATCATTGATGAGAAAGTCACCATTTGACTGTTCTCCCACCAGACAGTGGAGTTCATCAAACTAATTCAAATGGACCTAATTCAATCCAATTCAACTGGCGCATTGCGGACCATCCATCATACAGTAATTCAATCCTTGGTTTACAGTTGCCTCAATCCCTAAAAGCATCGAAAAGCCCAGTGAGGATTGCCAAACACCGAGGCACACAGAGAGACCGTCCAAACCTCGGATTGCCGGGCACAGCCGAGTCGTGAAGGACTGGTCCACCGGTCAAACAGTCGGTCACCGGTAGGGCGTGAAGCTACAGCCATGTCCTTTTGGAAATACCAAAGGGGTCAGTGCCAGGTACTATATAATACCAAAAAAGGTTGGTTGTATACGACGGTGGATATATATCCCTCATTATCCCTCTATTAATCAACCAACCCCTACAAGGAAATCTATGGTATCTTGCTCTTGGCAAGCTCGATGTCCTCAGGCTGGTGAAGTCTTCAAGGACAAGTGGCAACAGCCATCTGGGGATGCCTCCGACATGAAACAAACGTTGTTCAACATCAATCGTTCTTCCGTCTTCCCTTGTCTTGAGCTGTGGTTTTCCCCCTACCATTCCTAAACAACATGCAAAAAGCTCCTTCTTATTCCCCACTTTCGAGGTCCGCACCAAGAATGCATCCAGGATGCATTAACACTGGGCATCCAGAATTCCGGCAACCGCACCTGCAGGTGCGGTTGGGAGCTCGGGGACCGACTCATCCGATGTCAGGAGTTGCACCACACAACTCAACCGGACTGGGGAGACGAAAACCTGGAAACCCCGAGACTTACCTGGAAACAGAAAGAAATCGATTGTTGAAAACAAGGACTCGAAGTCAAGAGTCTTGATCTACCAAGAAAAATGGATGGCAGAAGTCAAGATTCAACAATCTAGCAATCCAATTCAAACAGCAATTCTTGATCTACCAAGTGGATCCAAGTGGCTGTTTGAAGAAACATCTGCTTTTGGTGGTTTGGGGCCTTAGGATGCCAAACAGGTGGGCCTCTGGTTTTGTCCAACCCCGAAGGCACGGCGCATCTGCGATCATCCAAGCGTGTCCGTTCAAATGCTCAGATGGTTTGCTGCCCACAATAGATAGAAAAGTAGATCCCCACTAAAAATGATTCAACATGTAGTATTGGAAACCGATGGACACCGTTTCTATCTATTTGGGGGGCCACTATACGCACTAGGAGGCTCTTGATCGATGCAGATCGATCCGTGCGGCTGGTCCGGCAACCTTTTGGGTCCCGAGGTCCCGCAGGTGGACCAGCATTGGACAGCAGATTTCGCTCTCAACAATTTGATGAGCTCTTGGACTCATGGGGCACTTGATTGCTGGATCTTAGGAAGCCCAAAAACAGTCTGCAAGCCAACTTCACCGGCACATCAGGCACTTGCCCCGGGAACTGCTCCGTTGCTCTCCCACTCGCTGCCTTGAAACCGAGACGGTAGTCTTTGGCCGGGATCTGGGGGATCTCTTCTGCACCATCTGCCACCAAGTCGACCTCAACAAACAGCAGAACCTTTCAGTTGTGGTGTCAAAGAGGAGTCGATGTGTCATCAACAAGCCGTTTAACATCGTTTCACTAATGGTGGTTAATGAAACAGCTAGTGACTTAGTGGTTGCTCCTTCTCAGAATCTTGTAGAATGTTTCCAACTGCAAACTGCACTTAACCATCATTGAGAATTCACACACACAGAATCTGCGCTCTAGGATGTCCGACACTTCCTAGAAATGGTCGAACGACCTCACTTTGCCGAGGGACGCGCACCAGTTTCTCCAGAAAGTACAAGTGATACCAACCTCGAGAGCTCGCGGGGGGATCTTTCGCTTCCTCAAACAAACAGTGCCGATGGCAAACCGAAACGACTAAAAGATGTAAGTCAAGCAAGCCCAGCAAAAAAAAGCACACGCTCGAAAGCCCTTCATTCAAGTCGATGTTTTTCAATTTCGACTTGAGATGCAGAAAACAAACAAACACATCCACTCCAAAACGCAACCCGGAGAGTGCGAAAGGCTTCGCGGAATGGGCTTGGTGCACTCTGCGGAATGGTCAACATTCATTTGAATTGCAACTAGGACATGGGATTGGCTGGTACATCAAGATTTGATCGGTTCGATGCTCGATTCTATACATGTTTGCCAGCAGTACAGAGAACTCTGATGACTTATAGTTGCCGGAGTTGCTTGGCCTATTCAGGGTCCAAATAAATGATCAAACCATATCAAACTGCATGACAAAGCACAGGGTGGTCTGCCAGACCGATTGATTCTTTGAGCATCTTTGAGCCGACGTTTGAGCCCACGAATTCCAAGGTTCGAGCCGCGCTTACCGCTTCCCACGACGGAACCCGAACGACGGACCGATCACTTCTTGGGTGCTTCGAAATCCTTTCGGAGTTCGAAGGTCTCAAACCACAAACATCTCGCCAAACAAGATGCTCACTTCCGGCGTTGGCAAACCATCGTAGTTGGTCACCTGCCCATGAGTGAACACTGCCGCGAAATCGGATGCATTTTGGAAGCGAACGCCTGGCCATGATGTGACGACGCGAAGGTTTTGCAGGTAGCATCTCAATCCAGCTGGCTTCATCTCTTCCTAATTCAGCCGCAGACCATCATTCGGCAAGTTGAGAATATGCCGCACAGCACACACACCGCATCACCGGTTTTCGCGCCGCTTGACGGCCAGGCACCGGCTCTCGCACGATGAGGGTAAAGCGCTCGGGCACCGCGATCTGCACCGACCGGAAGGGCCCCAGCACCTGGCGGGCGCCGGTGCAACGGGAGAAGGCATGGGAAGGTTCATTTGTGGATGCTATTAGGTTGGAGGCCATCACTACTAACAAGAAGCTTCTAGGGAGAAGATGCTGATAAAGGAGGGAGCAGATCAAACAGCCAATCAAAAATGAATAACATCTAAAAACCTTTATACATTATCCTTTACTGGTGTACTCACTGGCTTCATTGTGTCCAATATCATATCATATCATATCCATATTCTCCGCCATCCACTCTTTCTCCCTCACAATCCCTGCCAGCACTTGCCCCACAACCAGGCGCAATCAGGTTATATGCTGGCCCCTCCCAACAGAGAACGCCTTTCATGACATTCAGCTTTTTCGGGTGTGAACATCTTTTGTGCCAGCTCCCATGCCTTCTTCTAGCATGCTCCCCCCTTGGACCTCACAAAGATTCACCTTCATCGGAAAACCCCCAAACATCTATATATTATATATATGCATGCATATATGGTCCATGACGCCATATTCCAGGAAACCATCAAAGAGACTCATGGCCCATGGCCTGTTTGGACACCTCCTTCAGATGTACCTCCCCTTTTACGAACGTGGAGTGGTTGCTTAGTACGAACGTGCTCTTGTACCTTCAGAGAGGTCCATTTCATCGCACCCTCCAGCTGACTGGACCTTTGAGTCGATCGGTTCCGGAGCTCGAGCTCAGTGGCGCTCGCTTCAACGGATCCCTGTTGGACCTGGGTTTCAGGATGTACCACTCACTTTTCCACAGAATGGCTCAGTTCAGGTCTCCAAAACAGCAAGGAATCCAAGAGGGAGACCTCCCTGGAAGACTCCCTGGAAGCAGGGACCTAGACCCAAACTGATTGGATGAGGGGCCTCCCGAACAAGACATGCACATCCAAATTGATTGGTGGATGTGCCTTTTCCAGAGCGCTCTAGGCACCTGCAAGGGATCCAAGGTTTGAACCACCTTCAACGTCACGCGGATCTCCGCGTCGCTGCCCGGCTGCGAGCGCGCGAACCTCGGGTCCCGCTCCCGGCGCAGGATCCGGGTCGGGTCGAGAGGGAAGAAACACGTCGTTCTTGAGGTCCTCACTTGTTGCTTGTTTCCCTGCAGTCTGAGGCCATGTGTTTGACACGACTGTGTGGGCGTGTGAATAACTAAAGTCTTACTTAAAGTCTTTTGACCGAAGATTCAAGGTCCAAAGAATGACTGGCAAGGAGCTAATCTTGTGAGGATGCGAGGGATGTTTGCCATCAACTGGCCAATTCAGCATTGGTCAAGAAACACATGTATTTCAGGCTTGGCTTTAAGCTCAGTGGACTAAGTCTTTCCAACGATGTCCGGTGGATCTAGTTGCTTCTGAGGGCTGGTTTATGCTTGGTGTAGACTCTTAGAAGATGCCAAAAAACCATTGGATGGTAAAACCTCTGCATAATGAGTGTTCTTGGTTTTCATCCAAAATGCATATATGTTTTCATCAAACGCCGCGCTCTCCACGGTCTCCCGACTCGCTCGCCAAGGCTCGTGAGCACCGGGAGATCCAAGGTGAGCCCCGGGATGAGCCGCGGCCCCGGCAGCGCCAAACGTGCGTCCACCACCTGAGGGTGCGATGGGTGGGCAACGGGCAAGTGATGGGGCAAGGAAAAAGGGTCAATTTGATGAGTCGATCAAATGGATGTTGAGGCAACATGGTTGAATGAGTACGTAGCATGGAGATGCAGTTACGATATATTACCAATCTATGTGGGCAAATGGTAATCATCCCGAGATAAATTTGTAGCAATCTGGGATGTACACATGCACAACACACCATGACATCATGTTGTGTACCTGTACAACCTGGTGCTAATATGTTCATGTTGCGATCTCTCGCATTGCAAAAATATGCAAACATGCACGCATGATCCTGCGGAGCTAAGGCCAGTGAAGCAAGCCCACGCCTTGCCCTCCAAGTCTTTGAGCAGCAAATCAAACAAGTTCCTGAGCGAGTTCCGCATCAGAACACGCCCTGGTGTTACGCTCTTCCCAAGTCTTCCGGAGAACTATTATCTAAGTGCACCACCTCAAAAATATCCTTTAAGATTCTTTAAGCATTAAGGACTCGGGTAGCTCATACCTGCACAAGCAATGGCTGTGAGAATAGTATGGCACACAAAGCCACGCCCCCCTCAAGACGTGCGTCGAAAGCACTGTCTTGATGAATTGTTGCATACACAACGATTAATTTCACCACACAATCATCGATTTCAACATGAGACTAAAAACCACTAGAAGTCTGCGTGAAAGGATCTCATGAATCCTTCGAGTGTGTGTGTGTTGAATCCGCGTAAGTTAAAACTGTGCAGTTAAAAACCTCACGTCCTCTAACTCGTATCAATCCAGCACCTAGTTCATTCCTCTACACTCCCTGAAACAAACATGGACGTGGACAACCAGGAGGCCGTTATCCACTTCCAGAGGGTGGGTCACTCGAATGGAACTGACGAACCTTCTGATCTTGTGCCCAGAAGAGCCCTTTCAAACTCTTTCTCTTATCGTGTCGGGCGTCGTGTAGGGCGTGAAGCTGGGCGTTCGCATGCCAATGAGGAAGGCGTAGCTGCCGGGCGAGACACTCCTTGGCGGACGTTGTGTGGATGTGCTTTCAGCATCTATGCAACAGGTGGATCTGATGCAACACCGCAAGTTAACTACAACTTCCCAAACTTCCCCATCTGAAACCATCCCGAACCGAAACATGTTCGAAAAATCTCCGATTCTTGGCAACGATCTTCAACGTGAACGACCTCTCAAGCGATGGTATTTCCATGTATGTTCTCTTTTTACGGGTAGGTTGATGTCTCTCTCTCTCTCTCTCACGGCGTTGCGTCGGGAATTCCCTTTTTTCAAACAAGACTTGTTGAGCTGTGCTGAGCTGAGCGGGGTCACTAGAAATAGCCAATGGAAGCATGCCCATGATACCCCACCCCATATCTCACGAGCCGGTGAAGTTCAAATTTGCAGCTCATGTTAAATTTGCTTTGTCCTAATCCTCTCCACCTTGTGCAAATGGCATTGAACCATGTACCATGGGACTGTCTGAGAACCATCTGAATCCATTATAATTTGCTCTAGCAAACCCAATACATATAATATATATATATATTATACACACACACTGGAATCCATGTCACTCCTGTTTTGGAGCCAAAACATGCCAACACATTGTCTTTTCCTATCAAAACAAAGGTCAAATGGGTTCTAGATATATAGGTATGTTGGGTCTATCCTATTACCTGTTAACAGTGGATGATGATGGTTAGTAAAGGCCTTGTCCAAAAATCGTGATAATTGTTTACTGACTGTTACAGGTAATAGGACAGACCCTATAAGTATGCATTGTCGTGACAAGGTAAGTATGCCATGCACGTCCGAACAAAAGGAAAACATACATCCCCTGTGTGTAACATCGTTTCAACATCGATTGATATCTGTCTGGGGAACGACATGTTCCAATAAACAGAAGCTAAACTCTTGGAGGCCAACTTGAAGAAATAGCCTTCTTGCCAGTCAGCCATGACACTGACCAGGACGGGCATAGGATAGGGCACAGGGATTGCTTCACTTTCCTCAACACTCGACAGCTCGATGGGTGGAGCGACCATGCGTGGTTCGGGCCCTCCGACGCCGGGGGGCTGGTTCAGCATCAATCGGAAGCCCTCGTCCAACGTCTCACAGGATTGCAAACCAGCGAAAAAGAGCTTCAGGCCTGGCGGTGCAACAAGGCGAGAGAGGCTTCTAGACATCTTCTTTAATCTTCTTTCTAGACATCTTCGAAGGGGCGTCTTTCGGCTCATCTGCGGGCCAGGTTCGTGCATGCGGCACCTGTTTCTTTACCCTTATAACTTATAACTTATATACATAGGCTGCGTAGGCTCTGAACAAAATAAATGGGCCTGATTCCGCGTGACTACTACATCCAAACTTGGGAGTTGCGGCATCTAGTCTTCACCCATATCTTGCTGAAACCCTTGTGTGGTTTCGAACTGACCTGGACCTGGATCCTTGGAGAATTCACGACCTGGTCGCTTTTAAAGGAACTGGGAGATCTAGGTTTCCCCACAAAAGGGCTGATGAGGGAGCGTCCACAAAACCAACTGCGGTGTTGGTATTTCTTGGTTTCTGTCTTAACCAATCGACGCGCCAAAGATCACCAATCACATGCTCCGTCCTGCTCAACAGGAATCGTTGATAAGTGCTTGCTCATTTGCTCAAAAAGTCCAATCAAAAATCAATGGTTTTGGAGAGGTCCTGCCACAGTCCTCTCAACACCGCAGGACTGGATTCTTAGTGCCAAAACAATTTCTGCAACAATGGATTCTTAGCTCGAAACAACGCGAACTCCATGGAGAACATGCGAACTCACACCTTTGTTGGAAAGTCACGAATTTCCATGGAGGAGGGGACAACTCGACACAACCTCCACTGGCCAATCTCAATAAACACCTCCCAACGACCAGTTCCTGCCGTCCCCACCGTGGTCCGAGGACCCCGTTCCCAGTCCCCCCCACCATCCGCAGCATCGCAGGAGAAACCATACACTGCCGGAGCCACCACCTGCCCAACGAAAAGCAGAAACTCATCGCGTCACTCCAAAAAAATGGCGCAGGTGAACGTGAACGTCGTCTACACGGCTCATCTGCCACAGGAAACGGAAGGAAAAGGGACAAAAAAATCGGACCATCGGACGACTGGATTGCTGAATCTACCTGGACAACCCCCACGTCCATCGGACCGCATATGCTTGAGAGGGACCCCCCCATGGAATGGTCCCGGTGAAGAATGTTTGATCGCCGGAATACGTGGTCCATGGTCCACTTTCACTTTAAGCAGGAAGATCGGCAAAGAACGAAACCGGCCAGTCATACTGGAACTCCATGTTGACAAACCCGGACCATGCTGAACAATTCCAACAAACAACTGAATAACTTTGGTGGAACACAAGTAAAAAATCTAAAACACATGGAGTAATTAAGTGGAACCAATCAGATAGGTGACCTATCATAGGTCACTTTGAAGATTCAAGTTCAACTCAACGTCATGGTAGATTGCTCCATCATAGTGTGTTTTTTTGTAGATATTCAACCTGCTTTTTTGGGGGTTCAACACTCCCTGGACCCATCATGGATGTGGAAAACCACTTGTTTGTACAGGAACGTTGTCATACAAGGCTTCAATTCCCGGGAATGTAAAACACTGTAAAGTCAGTTCAAACTCCTCGGCGGCACCCCGGCGTCCAAAGGCCCATTCGCCTCAATGACTCCTCCACTCAAGATGGTCTGAGAGGTTTGGAAACTCACAGCCACGTGGACCACCTCAAGTTACAAACAACAGGCTGCAACTAGTAGCCGTGGCATGATTTTTGTTTTGTTCTTCGAGGGTTCCCAAGCCACAGATCTTAGAGAGCATAAGGAAACAACGTCACACCGTTCCCACTTGCTATGCCCTAAGGTATATGGTGGCTGATCATCATTTCATGATGAAGTGGCAAGTGGCAACTTTTTGTGGAAAATATCTTTAGTAGACTCATGGTGAAGCATGGTTCTAAAAACTCGTGTCTAGTCAACAGGCGCGCTTGAACATGATTGAACTGTATATGCAAATACGAAGCACATAGTGATCAGAAATATCCTCGACGAGGCTTAGAATAGAGTCATGCGCAACTCAATCCCACTGCCACCCTAGTGCTAGCTACCAACACAAGGTAATGCAGCTTGGGAGATCGGGGGGGCTCAAGTTTGGAACTGGGCCTTTAGCGGCACATTCGCGAAACTTTCGCGACAATTCACTGGTGGCTTCCGTATAAGATGCATAATTACTTGGAACTAGTGAGCACTAAAAAGAATCACCTCCACCCTCTAAGGATGCGGTGTGCCTCACCGCTGCACCTGCTTTGCGTTGCGGGCATCAAGTGCAACGCGCAGTGCAATCCACCAAGCAACGCTGTAATTCCACCACGCCACGCTGTAATTTGCAGCGTTGCTTGGTCGTGGACAGTAGACTCTGAACTTTTTGACAGGGCAGCTGCGAAGTTTCTGAACCAACAAAATGCATGCAAAAATCAGCGCTGTGTGGTGCATTGCGCTGTGCCTGACACAGCGTCGCGCGCTATTTTTCACCGTTGCACTGGACAAGTCACAGGCTTCAAGCTTCCTATGCCCTTGGCCTGTTGAGCCACATGTCTGTCATTTCTCTTGCGCACAACTGGCCAGGACTCTACTTTGGAAACCTGAAACTTGAAGCCATGGCCAAATCCTTTTGGAATGTATCAGTGCCCAGCCTGAAGGGCGGCAGCTTTACGTAGCAATCTCACACTAAAACTGATACCTGCCCTGTACTCACGGCACAAAAGGCCTCAGCCTTCCCCCACGAAACCTGCGCGAAATTTTTGTTGGTCAGCGTTTGGTGCAGAACATCAAAAGCTATTGACAACTACAACTACATGAAACATTTGCGATATTTGGTTGTCATGTTGATGCAAAACTGCAGTGCTTTTTTAAACACATCGGCCTAAAACAACTTGATAATGCCTAGTTTCAATCTCTGTATACTGAGTGCTGATGACATGGACATTCGGAGGTAAATATTCCAGCACATGACATGGCCATAGGAAAAACACCAAAAGTTAGTTCTCCAGATGACATTGCATGATTAGGAGCAAAAAAATAGAGAAACATTGACAAGTCATCAGGTTTCCAATGATCCTCAGCAGCCCCGAATCATGCAAAGTCTTTTCCCCTGCGCGCTCCCTGTCGTTCAAAAGCAACTGTTCAGACAACTAGTCAGAAACCCCTCCAGCTATTCCAGCCACAGGTGATTTTCTTCAGTCTTGTTGGCTTTGGGATGAGAAAGAATCATTTTATGCAATTGAGAGTGCATCAGAACTCTTTTGAAATCTTTAGAACAAGGGCAAAGTGGAATCAATTATATATTTATATAACTTGATATGAAATCCGCACAGCGCCAACAATG